GGTGTACAATTTTTATAATAGACCTGTCAGGAAATAGGATTGACCAACAATTCCGAGCTGGGGTTGCCTTGCTCAATATTTCATGTTGATTCATGTCAAAAGAACAATTGGAATAGAAGGCCCTATTTCATGGACAGTGAAGTAATAAGTTTTAGATTTCCTAGTCCATTCAAAACTACTTTTAGATTTACTCTATTTCATGTTTTCTCCTTTGAGGTGGTTATGCGGCATTTGATTACAATCTGGCATGTACGTAATAATATCATAAAGTTTTGAGCAGTTTTCGGTAGGAGAAGTCCGTCCCGAGCAAATACTAGGACTTTTCTAAATTTCTTTTATCTATGTTAAGTTAACAAATATTTCAGTGTAAGCAGCTAATAATCCTTTGCGTGCCTTGATTCATAAGCCTTTGCTGAGGTAATATCTCTTGTTGCTGATTCATTGCCTATCTGCCATGAACATTGAGAATAACTATCATAGAATGAAGAACTGTTCCGTTTTCTATTGAACAAATTTCCAGTCTAAGTGCTCGGCAGCTAAAGCTTATATACTGAATTAAAATACACCTAAAGAAAAGTGATTAATCTCTGTCTCAGTCGCTCCTTTGCANACTGAATTAAAATACACCTAAAGAAAAGTGATTAATCTCTGTCTCAGTCGCTCCTTTGCAATATGTTTGAAGAGAATGTATTTAATATATTTCTATTTTGTGTAGGGTATTCAGTTGAATGAGTGCCTTGTTTTTGGATTTGTCATTAGAACATGGTTTATAAAAATCAAGGAGAATTTTTATTTATTTATTTGTGATATCTATCAGCAGATTCCAAAAAAAATTATGTTACTTCTGGTCATTGTCAATGTCCAATATTCCATTTTGAAGATAAGCATGTACATTGAGATTAAGCATTTCTGGGAAGTATTTATGAACGATTTGAATTATAAATATATTAAAATGACTGTGGATAAGTGAGTAGTACTTGTGGATCTCCCGAAACTATTTATAAACATAAGCCAAACGTAGGGTTAAAAAAGGTAATTTAGTTGAACTGAAGGATTGATTTTGGAAATCTGTTTCTTGCATCCTTTACCAGCTAATGAGTTTTCTCCTCAATAAGACAGAGCTCTTAAATAGTGACTGGGAAAATGAGATGGAGGTAACTGATAATTATGAACTCAAATAAACACAAACATTCATGGTTACTTAAAATAATGTCTTTTTTCAGGGTAATAAACAGGGATTTGCATTTGTAATGAACAGTAACAATAATGTGCAGTACATTTAGTAGTACTCTATCTATTATATCGTCCTGAGCTATGTAAATTGTGCAGCTGATCCTTCTAATGCCAAAGAGGCAATTACTTGGATATATCAAGCTTCAGTTGCTGGTAACGTTCGAGCTCAGTACCAACTTGCACTTTGTTGGCATCAAGGTCGTGGGCTCCACCAAAACCTCCAAGAAGCGGTATAATGTTGTTACACAGCTTTCTTACTCTTGATAATCAATATATACAGTTGTAGAATAAATCTTGAAATCTGATCTTCAATTTGTTTTGCTGATTAGATCCTGCTGGTTCATATTAATTTGCTTCTTCTTTCCAAGAAGCAGCTAGATTTGTGGTGACAAAATGTATAACTTGTGCAAATCTTTCCGTTTTCCAAGTCGATACGATCCATTCATTCATAGAACTATTTACTCGATCGCAGACGTTTATAGAACATCTCTAGCAGAGGGACAAATAATCAATTTTGAAAGAATTTATTGTCAACTTCTTTCAGATATGAATCTATTTGATTCGGAAGGGAAGATTACCCAATTTTTAAATGCTAGAGTAGATCCCAAAAAGATACCGCTTCCTCATGCATTTATCTTGAATCGAGAACTTTTGGCTCAACTTTATCCAAGTTTTGTTGAGATTTGGACCTGTAAATCGATTCATGACCTTTCGAGCACAACCAATATCTATTCGAACTCCGCAAGGTTGTCTCTTGCCTGCCCATGGATTAAGCAGCAGTTCGAAAGGTTGCCCTATTCGAGAATCTTCGGATCTATGCTTATTTTCAACTCCCCGAAGCATTTCGTTGGTCAAGAAACTCAATACCACTATTCTTGAACAACTTGGAGCCGGACCTTCTTTTCGCACTATTACGGATATGAAAATAATGGTTAAAATCGGATTAAATTGTCTTCTTTATAGTACAAGTACACTACTTCAGTAGATGTCACTTTATTTAGTTCAGTGCTACCTTTTCTAAAGTTACTTTTATCCAGCTAATTAATATAGGCACGTCCTTGTTTGGCTGATCATGTCGAGCTATTTGCTGTTTCACAAACTCTTGATTAGAGTTGAATAGTGCACAAGGAATATCTGATACTCCCATGTAGTCAAGATAATTAAGTCCATACATTTTGTGATAACTTTCGATAGCATATTGTTCTTTCGATATGGATTCTTATAATGACTTTTGACTCTTATGAATTTCTAAATTCCAATCTTGACAGGCTCGATGGTATCTACGAGCTGCAGAAGGGGGGTATGTGCGGGCTATGTATAATACCTCCTTGTGCTACTCTTCGGGCCAGGTGCGGGTCCAGGCGCACAGATTAGCAAGGAAATGGATGAAAAAGGCAGCTGAGCGTGGTCATAGCAAAGCACAGTTTGAGCACGGTTTGGGTCTTTTTTCCGTAAGTTAGCAATACAACCCATTCTTTCACAGTAAAGTTCTTTTAAGTGAAGTTGATGACATTGATAGATGCTTATGTGTCCACATTTTTGCTCAAGACTTACAGAAATAAGAGAGTTGTGTGAAAAAGGGGTTGTCTGTTTTTTGTTTTCAAGATTTTACTTGGTAAAATTGTGTATGTAAGACATCTTCTATGTATTTTAAGGAGTAGCGTGAAAAACTGATGGAAGTCTTTGATGCTACTACATGGAACATGTTTGGCTAGCTTAGAGTAACTTCTAAGCTACTTTTTATCCCAAACGTGTTTCAAAGTTTCTTTTGGCCCACAAACTTACTTTTGTGAAAAAGCATCTTTTTTCTTTCTATATGGAAAGTACTTGGACATAATTTTCATCTTAGCCAAACATGCTATCACCAGGAAGGGGAGATGATGAAGGCTGTGGTATACCTGGAGCTTGCAACACGAGCTGGTGAGACTGCTGCCGCTCGTGTCAAAAATGTTATCGTTCAACAATTATCAGCAACTTCTCATGATAGAGCAATGCATCTGGCTGACAATTGGCGTGCTTTGCCTTCAACCCGTTGAACTTTATAGGTGCATGTTCTTTCTTTTGCCGATAAACCTTCCTCAATTTTCTTCAGCTGTTATGATTTTACTGTTAAAGCTTCTCTTTGTTACAGAAATGTTGAATTTAGAAGGAAAATAAGATGTGATATAGTTTTATACCCTTTTCTGTATTGATTTTTGTTTAGTTGCAGATTTTGTAAAATAATTGTGTGATGTAATTCAGTCTTGCAATTTCTCTTCGATCATAGTGTCTGTACAATAAATTTATGGTTATTCTGTCCTATTCATCGTATCAACTGTGTTATCAGCGTGTAGATTTTGATGGATAAACAACTTAAAATTGCAAACCCACATCAATACAAGCGAAACAACACCATGATATCAAATATGCAGTCAAATAGATATACATTATGTGCACTACAACTAATAGACAATGGCTATACAAGAATAAATCAAACTGTTTTTGTGCTGATAAATGGAAAATTCTTGAGAATACCACGTGAAAAATCAACGGGGATTTCATTAGTCGGAATATACCATGTACCCCCTCCTAACAAGCACATATTATCGTCTGATGATGTATTGTGTTAGGCCTTGAAACGACTTATTCTAAGGAAACGTTTGCAACAAGCATAAAATTGCAGAAAATTAAAGAAAATCAGAACACGAAGGATTTTTTGGACCGAAAGGCCCAGATGTTCAGTCTTGCGACCTAATAGCCCGTTGAGCAAATATAATGAGATATAGCTATAGATCCACCAAGAAAAACCAAGAATCAATATAAAATGTACGAAGAAATCATCAGTTTCTTCGAGTTCTTTCTCACCTCTTCTACAAATCGTAATCACACAACCCTCAATCCTTTTACTCACAAGGAACAGAAATTGAAAACCACAAAGATTCATTACAGATTTACGAGAGAAAAACTCTAACTATCACTCAGAGAAATGGAGAAAAACGAAGATCTCAAAAAAATGGAACCATCATCTCATCAAAGAGCCAAGACCAAGTCACGTATTTATCCAACTCAACAGTCACAATCCAAAGATCAGAATGCAACCACGTGTTGAGCAGATTCTTAAACTCCAAAAGGCAAAAAGCATATTTCACTTAAATCTGAAATTATACTGGCCCAATTGCACAAATGGCCCAACAGGCCAAGTAATAGTGAGACATCCCAAATACATTAACAATTTCCACCTTGCCGAGCTATTCCTTGGCATTTACTAATGGATCTAGTCATCTATATATATTGCTTCATTTGCTCTAAAAACTTGTAAAAAAAGAAAAAATTAGTTCAACTCTTTTCAACAACAATACTTGAAATTTTAATTATCATAACATCAAGTGATATTCAGAATCTTCAAGCAATTTCTAAATTTATTTAAAGGTAATACCTTAGTCCCCAAATTTGAAGAATTAAATTATGTAGGAATTTTAACCAGACCGATCAAACATTTTTCTGTCATATTTATTACAAAATGAAACTTTATATCTATATGTTTAATTCTATCATGATAAACAAGATTTTTACTCAAATGAATTGCACTTTGATTATCAGTGTTAATCCTAACAAAATCATTCACAAAGCCAATTTCATTTAACAAACCCCTTAACCACATACTTTCTTTTACAGCATCACATGCAGCAATATATTCAGCTTTAGTTGAGGATAAGGAAATTAATTTTTGTAACTGTGACTTCCAACTAATGCAACCATCACACAATGTGAAAATGTAAGAAGATGTGGATCTTCCTTTATCCAAGTCACCAGTAAAATCAGAATCAGTGTAACCTTTCAACTTCACCCCTTCATTACTCATTTTAAATTCTAAACCTAAATCAGAAGAGCCTTTAAGGTATCTCAACATCCATTTCATAGCCAGCCAGTGTGTTTCACCTGGGTTGGCCATAAACCTTCTTAAAGTGCTAATTCCATATGCTAGGTCAGGTCTAGTACATACCATGAGATACATTATTGAACCTACAGTGTTTGCATAAGTACTTTTTCCATTCTTTTGAATTCATCTTTTATTTTAGGTGATTGTCCACTAGTCAATTTAAAATAATTAGCAATGGGCAAAGTAACAGGTTTACACTCAAGTATAGAAATTTTTTTTAAGTATTTTTCTTCACATAAGAGCCTTGTTTTAATAACAATATACAATTATCCCTATCTCTTTCTATTTCCATTCTAAGAATCCTTTTAGCTTGTCTCAAATCTTTCATTTCAAATTCAGATTTCAGTTTTGACTCAATGAAATCAATTTCAGATCTATCATGACAAGAAAGTAATATATCATCAACATATAATAGCAAATAAATGGATTCAGGTCCACTCACCATTTGAAAAAGAAACATGAATCATAATTGCTTTTTACAAAGCACAATGTCTGCACATAAGAGTTAAATTTGATATACCATTCCTTGAAAGATTGTTTCAGCCCATAGAGTGATTTCTTCAACAGACACACCTTTTCAGTTTTAGACTTAATTTCAAACCCCAAAGGTTGATTCATGTATATAGTCTCATCAATGTCACCATTCAAAAAAGTTGTTTTAACATTAAGTTGATCCAGTTCCCAGTTAAAGTGAGCAGTGAGAGCTAATAGAATTCTGATTGAGGTATACTTAGCCACTGGAGAGAATATTTCATTATAGTCAACTTCTTCTTTTTGAGTGAACACCTTAGCCACTAATCTGGCTTTATACGTTTTACTTTCTTGATTAGAATCTCCTTGTTTGATTTTAAAAATTCACTTGTAATCAACTATCTTCTGATTTTTAGGTCTATCAACCAAAACTCATGTCCCATTTTTAATAAGAGAGTCCATTTCTTCATTCATAGCCTATTTCCAGAACTTTGAGTGAAAACATTTAATGACATCATCAAAAGTAGCAGGTTCAGAATTCAAGGAGTCAGGAGCAGAAAATAAGGTAACAAATTTATCACTATTGAATCTGGTGGAGGGTCTTATATCTCTCATCTCTTTATCCCTAGTTAGTTGATAATCAGCAAGAGTGAGATCAGTATATTCATTTTCATTTCCAGATTTAGTTTGCTCATGATTTGGCTTAGATTGAGTGGACCCCACCTCAATCAAATCATCTCGATTAACAACATTTTCAATTTGATTTTTTAGGACAGTTTCTTTAACAGTTGTAGTTTCAGAAGTTTTAAGATCAAATGATTTATTATAAGGCATATCATTTTCATTAAAGAAGACATTTCTACTAACAATCACTTTATAACCATTTTAGCATTTGACCCACAGTCTATACCCTTTAACTTTCTCTCCATAGCCTAGAAAAACACATTTTAAGGACCTAGGTTCAAGTTTACCTACATTTTGATGTGAATAAGCAGTGCATCCAAAAACTTTGAGTCTGCTGTAATCAGGTGTTTCTCTAGACCACAATTTGTCAGGGACTTGAAAATCAATGGCACTGGATGGACTTCAATTTTGTAAGATAAGTTGCAATTTGTAGGACTTCACCCAGAAAAACTTAGGAAGACCAGAACTGTACAACATACACCTTGCCTTTTTCAGTAGGTATCTAATCATTCTCTCAGCAACAACATTTTGCTGAGGGTGTATGCTACAGTTATGTGTTTTAGAATTTCAGATTCTTTACAAAATGAATTAAATTCTGAATTACAAAACTCAAGTCCATTATCAGTCTTCAATGCTTTGATTTTCTTGTTGGTTTGGTTTCCAATCATTAGTTTCCATTGTTTGAAGGTTTGAAAAGTATCAGATTTTTGTTTTAAAAGAAAGGTCCATATTTTCCTTGAAAAATCATCTACTATAAGTAGATAGAATCTAAATCCACTTAGGGTATTTACAGATGTTGGACCTCATAGGTCATCATGTAAATAATCCAGAATAGATGTGGATTTATGGGTTTCAATTTTGAAAGGTAACCTTTTCTGTTTTCCAAATACATAGTTTTCACAAAAATCCAATTTTTTAATATTGTCATTTCCAAAACAACCAAGGTTATTCAAAATAGCCAGTCCCTTTTCTGAAATGTGGTCAAGTCTTTTATGCCAAATTAAAGGTTGTTAGACTCGAAGTTTAAAGCTGTAGAACAATGGCTTACCGAGGTTCAACAGAGACAGTGTATGTCATTTATTTTAAGAGACGAGATTACATTTTTATTGCCTTGTTTTAGTCTCAGCAGACTTTTATGAATCTTGATATTGTACTTGTCATCTAATTGTCCCAAGGAAATTAGGTTATTTTAAGCTCGGGCACATATCTTGTGTTTTCAAGTTCAAGAATGTAGTTATTCAACAACAGTTTAATATTTCAATTCCCTTTATTTGACAACTCATGTCATTTTCCATTTGGATTTGTCCTCCATTGAGGTCAACAAACTCAAAAAATTTCTTTAGTGGGACACATGTGAAAAGTACAGCCAGAGTCAAGGATCGACTCCTTTGGGTCTCTTCTAGTGGTACTCTCAAGAACAACCCCCTGAATATCAGGTTTATTCTTGTAGACCAGAGCTACAGAACCATCAGAATTGTTTCTATCTTTCACATCTGAAATTTTCTTGAAACAATCTTTTATTATATATCCTATTTTACCACAGTAATAACATTTTCTGATTTGGTTCTTAGATTTCACATGACTTTTGTTCTTCTCTTTGAATCTAAAATTCTGAGTTTTTCCCTTCTTGTGAGGATTGTAATTATATATGAGTTGTTTCTTATTATGATTCAGTTTCTCTCTTATGTGCAACATTTCCCTATACTTGGAGTCTTTTGACTCAACTTTCAACTCAAGTTCTTTGTTCCTCAGGGCTGAGGCTATTATATCAATGGTAAGACTTGCCCCCCATATTCTAAAGCATTTCTGATGTCCTTATATTTATCACCAAGTGAGTTCAGTAAAGCAACAACTTGTTGGTCGTCAGAAAGCTTCTCATCACAATTTTCTAGATCCTGAATCAATTTTGTGAATTTGTTAAGATTTTCTTCCAAATCAGAGGAGGGATCAAACCTAAAGTTA